CAATTAGTGGCATCCACTTTTGTACGCAGTTAAGCGCGCGCTTGAGCATCACGTGACTTGGCCTTGGGTCGGTTTTGACCGACTCATGACACCAATAGAGCATGTTGCACATCATTGTGACCTCATAGTTGTTCATTTTATGGGACCTAGTGAAGAACTATTTTCTTTGAAAGCTTTGCAACTATATATCTTGGAAACTCTCCAGGACAACATGCCGAAGGCTCTGTGGCACGGGCGACGGGCGTCTGATACCATTATGTAATAAACGGATTACCTCTTTAGTGTTTAAACGCCCGTGTCACGTGCCGTGGCCTTACTGTCGAAGCCATTTTCGCCAGTTTTGACCCGACCTAAAATCGCGTCTAGGGATCAGTTCCTCTGTTCAAATCCGTGCAATTGACAGATTATGGGAGGGTTTCATGACAGTCTAAGGGACTTATAGGTCGGCGCTTAATTGCGTACAAAAGTGGATGCCTCTAAGTGAACTGCACCATAGCAAGCGCTACGATGCCTCCGTGCAAGAAGCAGCTGTCAAAACAAACGCTCGCGCACCGTGCGTGCGTGTTGCGTGTGGCTTTGAAACTCGTGCCCTTGAGCTGACAAGTGTGAGGATAGTAATGACGCCCTGCAGGCACGCAATGAGCCCTAGGAGAATGCTAGCACATTGTATATGCAGGTTGCCGCATGGCATATGTATAAAGTTTGTCGCGCTTCGCCTGCGCTGTACTGTCACTCAGGTGCTTGGTGGCAAGTTTCGCCGTTCACAAATGAATTAATCACACATGGGCGCCATCAAGCAGCAAGCATCGGGTGCATTGTACTCGCAACACGTGTAAACAATAGCCCCGGTCAGAATTGAGCGTATCTCGTAGCCGCCCGTATTTCGTACGTCCGTATTTTGAGTCACGTCACCCAAACCGCCTGAGCGCTTGTCACCTGTACGTCACAACCCGCGCAACGACACTCGTTGGGGCCTTCGCGCACACTAGTGATATGATATCAGACTTTTGTGTACCGCTACTCGCATTTCTTGCACATTGTTTCAGTGGACTGTATGAACTATCCAGATGTTGGGAGTGTAAGGGGCTCGCGGGTGCAGCAGCACAAGCAAAAGTTCAAGGCGGCTAATCTGACATTACACATTGCCATAGCCACCCAACTTGGGCCCGCTAGTTGAACCACATGAGGGTGACGATAGGAGATATCTTACTGCGGCTGCACCGAGCCCGCGCTAGTAAGGTGCGCGCAAGCAATAACATGGCTCGAAGGAGGCTCGCGACCCCAACAAATTCAGCTCAAGGTGAACCAAAGGGAGTCTCAGACATGACAAAACTGCTCTTATGGTGAAGTACACTGTGGTTTCCAGAGACGCATAAATATGCAGATGCGCGCGACTTGGCGGCAATGGGGTGTGACAAACTGGTAGTAACAAACGCGCAGGCGGCTTGGGTGACGTGACTCAAAATACGGACGTACGAAATACGGGCGGCTACGAGATACGCTCAATTCTGACCGGGGCTAATGCTCCTCCTTACCACGAAATTTGTGCGATGTCTTAAGTACCGCCGCCTCAAGCCGGGACGAGGCCTGAGATCCAATCACTATCTCTCTCCTCGTTCACGAACGCTACTCTTAATTGCCCTACGCTCCGAACATTTACCTGATCATTTCTCGTCTTGCATAGGTACTGGCATTGACCAGCACAATACCGCCTGGTGTGTATGGGTGTTTCTGTCTTGCATCGTGATCCCTGACTGTCAATCTGCAGTGCCCTCGAGCGTTCCAAAGAACGACATGCGTCTCTTGGACACGCGCACAGGACAATTCGTCGAGAAGGATCCAACTAACGAGGATACGGTGTTCGCCATTCTGTCACATACCTGGGATCCCACAGGCGAGCAGTCATTCAAGCAACTGCGCAAGATCCAAAAGCGGTATGCCACCACAGCTCAGCCTCCACCGCATAACCCTCCGGGTCCTCAGCCTCCCCCATGGCCCGTGCCACAGCGTCCACCGGCTGTGCATCCATCGGGGACGCCTCAGTCCCCTCATGCCCCACGTGAACCGACGCCTCCCCCAGCGGTGCCACCGGCGATGCCTCTTCCTGGCGAACGGACACCTCTTCTGGCAAGGACCGACCGCATGAGCCAAATGGAACGAGGTCTCGCAGGGGACGACGATGGCACGGCGCCGATCACCAGGACGTCCGGTTCACTCCACCTGTTCAGGAGGATGCGGCAGCTACTCACTCTAGCCCTCGTGCTGGTGCCGCGCTTGTTGACCTGGACGACAGGCCCTCAACTGCGTCCCAGTGCACCATCTCCGACCCCGACGGAACTTCCCGTCGCTACCTCACCACCGGAGCATCCCATCGAGCCTGTTGCACTCCCGCCTTCCCCTCCGCTGCGAGAGGAGGACCTCCCTGTACCTCCGAAATCAATCTGGGATAATCCCGAACTCTCCCCGAAGATTCGAGAGGCATGCAGGGTAGCTCGCGAGGCCGGGTACGATTACCTCTGGATTGACTCATGCTGCATCAACAAGACGAGCAGTTCCGAGCTGTCTGAGTCAATTAACTCGATGTATCAGTGGTATGGCCGTTCCGTAGAGTGCTACGCATACCTTGCCGACGTCCCTCCTGGTGAAGACCCTCGCTCTCCGAAGTCCAAATTTCGTTCAAGCCGATGGTTCGAGCGCGGGTGGACGCTCCAGGAGCTCGTTTCGCCCTCTGAAGTGAAGTTCCTCTTGAACGACTGGAACATCATCGGAACCAAGCACGTCCTCGTTGACCCCGTCAGTGAGATCACCGGCATCTCTGACGAGGCCCTACTACACGAGAAGTCACTCGATGAGTTCAGCGTTGCTCAACGACTTTCGTGGGCCGCAAAACGAGAGACGACGCGGGTGGAAGATCGGGCATACTCGCTTCTTGGTATCTTCGACATCAATATGCCGACGCTCTGTGGTGAGGGCGAGCGTGCCTTCCGGCGGCTGCAGGAGGAGATTCTGCGGCGAGTACCTGACCAGAGCATTTTCGCATGGGAGGACTTCTACATGGATGTTGAAGAGGGCCATGACCTTGCCCAGTGCCCGTCGCTCCAAGATGCTACCGAGTTGGATTGTGTGGAGGACGGGGAGCACCATCGCCGGTCGCGCCTGTCTTCTGACCTTGAGCCGCTCTGGAAGGGCGGCAAGATCCGAGTCGTCCCTCATGTTGACTTCATCGAAATGCTGCCGTTCCCCCATTTTGCTCCTACACAGTACACCTTCACTACACATGGCATCCAGACTCAATTTCCTGTGATACCAATTGCCCAATGTCTTCCTTGGCCCAAGGTGGAGTATGACCCTGACGGTGCTGCCCAGTGGTATCTAGCTATCCTGGCATGCGAACACGAAGATATTCCTAGTGCCCTTCTCGGGCGGATCGTCTACATACCTGCCTCTAAGGCTGGCGTGGAACACCTGCACTGTGGATACATGTGCATCGAGCCGTCACCAACACTGCATGGTGGTAAATATTGGCCCGAACTCTTCCCCCTGTGGCCGGCCACCATCGAGCGCTGTCAGGAGCACATCGCGCTCAAAACAGTCTACATCTCCCACCCGGAGCGTGCCAGCACACAGTCGAACATTAGGGACCCTCGTGTCGCGGAGACTAGGCACGACGGCCCGAGGCTCAGCAATCGGCGCCAAGTCGAGCATAGCGTAAGACTGAGGACGTAGGAGGAGAGGGAGAGAGAGGGAATATACAAGGCAGAGGGCGGGCGACGGTGCGGACAGAGGGGTCTCGCACGGTATGGCACCGACGTACCAGGGAACCGAACCAAGGGTCGAAAGGGCCAGGGCGGCACGGAGGCACAAACCTACCAGCAAGACGTAGCGGCACGCAGGCACAGGCTAGTCCCCAATGACATAAGTATATTGACAAGTACGAAGATACAGCTAGTAACTCACCTAGTCCCCAATGACGTAAGAGGTTGAGATGGGGACTAGGGGCTAAAGGGCTCTACTCTATATACCTGTAGACCGGTGCACAGACCATGTAGCTATTTGTACGTGTTTGGCACGACCAGAGGCTTGAGGGCTTAAGTACTAGGCACGAGTCAGAGGGGTGTATGTCGTACTAACTACTGTGGGGTGATCCTTATCTAATCTAACGATCGTGAGGCCATGAGGGAGGGAGCGTGGTGGCAGTGCATTGCCGGGGGTATGTAGACGCTTAGACAGAGCGCCAGGAACCTGGATGCCGACGTGAGGCTGCACGTGGCGAACGTGCTGCTGGAAAAGGGCGCTGTATGGAGCGCTGGTGGGCTTGGAGGGGGGAACGGCGGATTCCGAGGTGTTGTTGGCGCTGAGAGGTGAGAGTCCCGGTCCGTACGGTTGGAGAAAGGCAGGCAGAGGGTGTCATGGGCGCTATGCGGAGCGCGGCCGTGACACCTCGCTGGCAGCCACACAAGACGATCAACCTATTGCTGCGGAGTAAGACTGGCGATGCTCTACGCGCCCAAGGGTACACGGCGGAACTCCGACGTCCAGATGAGGACCACCCGAGCACTCACTGGCTCACGCTTTCCGGCGACGACCACACGATCACCGTCGAGTACCGGCATACCCTGGAGTATCACGGTCGGAAATTGAAGGTCGAGGCCGATGTGAAGATGTCGCGACCTGCTCTTGACGAGGCTGGGGGGATCGTGGGGGATCCTAGCTCCGTGTCTTGGACTGATAGTGGTTATCTAATATGGGACCGGTCACTTGACACAAAGGAGGTCGCTTTCACCCTCGCAACGAAGAAGCTCACCGTGAAGCTCGGCATGTACTGGGCAGCGCCATCGCACTACTTCCTACGCGTCGATATCGTCAACGGGACGATACCAGTCGAATCCAGCACGTCGCTCGAGCTGGCGCACGGAACAGAGGCCGAGGGGACGGGAGCGGGTGGCGAAGGGGACGAGCAGGACATCGGGGCCGAGGTTGGGGCCAGCGAAGGCGGCGTCCTTCAGCCTGACGATGGCGCGCTTCTTCCCATGCAGCACTCGGATGGCACCATCAGTTCGCGTTCGCTGGAGGTGCGTGAAGGAGAGGAGCGCGGAGCGGACACGGAGCCGGACGAGGAGGTTGATGGCGAGCGGGGGGGGGCGGTGTATAGGACTAACGGACCGCATTACGGAGGACTTGATGAACGAGTGCGACAGATCGTTCCCTTGGGATTTGAACCTGAATTGTATGTTTGTTCTCCGTCAGCTCCTCTCGACTCGCAAACTAGCGTCCCATGTATGAGTCGTTGTGGTGATGGCATCGATGAGTACAGCGTTGAATTGAGACAGATGTACACTTGTTGTGTACGACGTACACGACTCGAGGTTCAACGGGATCCTTGATATGCATATGTTCCTTTCTGCCGCTCTGGCAGTTCCGGGACCACGTCGGCAGGAGATTTGGACATATTCGGCAGTGCGATGCGTCGCGATCGCGCTTCGATGCAGGCCCACGACGACCAATCCTGACGGACTCCAATGCACATGTTCACTTGGGGGGTGAGCGCAGACGATCGACGACGTCGCGCAGATGCAACTCGGAGAACGGACACGCCCATATGAAATATATTGTCTGTGTGGAGCAGTCGACGACATACCACTCCATCCCCCTACGGGATATCCGGTCAACACCCTCGCGGCAGATCACCATTCCAAAGGTAAGCCGACAGCTTTGGCTGCCCGCTCGAGCCTGCTACTTCGTCGTCCGGCCATTGCCGCCATGGATATGCCTTCATGGACGTCCGACGTCCTTGAACTCGTACCGCGACAGCCTACACAAGGGCAAGGGATGAGAGAGACGCAGAGAAGACTCACCATACTGAGATTTACCCTTCACCAGTCGTTGCAAGATCGAGCCTTAGAGGACCCTGTGTAGCTTGCCATTGGGTGACTCGTTGATGCGGCATCCAGACGGGGAGTATAGCTAGTAGCGACGAGCGGGACGAGGAGACGGGAGGTACGGTGCGTTGCGACAGAGCAGAAGGGTCGCATGCGGATATCAGCTTGACAACACTTCGCGGGGATCGTCCATTCCAAGTCAAGTAAGAAGAGACGATGCAAGGACGGATTGCTGGTGCAGATGTGTAGCGACCCTAGAGGGGTGACGGTGCAGCGCACAAGGGCCCTATCAAGTCTTGAAGCAGGATGACCAGAAGCGTGACGGTTTCAAGCGCGAGCAAGAGTGCAAGAATGACAGGGAGTCATCCGAGT